CCCCCCTCCCTTCCCTTCTTCCTTCTTTCCTCTTTCCATCCTCCCTCTTCCTTCTTCCTTCCTTCCCTCTCCTTCCTCCCTCTCCTTCCTTCTTTCCTTCCTTCCTTCCTTCCTTCCTCCTTTCCTCCCTCCCTCCCTTCCCTTCTTCCTTCTTTCCTCTTTCTATCCTCCCTCTTCCTTCCTTCCTCCCTCCTCCTTCCTCCCTCCTTCCTCCCTCCGTCCCTCTCCTTCCTTCCTCCCCTTCCTTCCTTCCTTCCTTCCTCCTTCCCTCCCTCCCCCTCCCTTCCCTTCTTCTTTCTTTCCTCTTTCCATCCTCCCTCTTCCTTCCTTCCCTCCCTCTTCTTCCTCCCTCCCTCCCCTTCCTTCCTTCCTTCCTTCCTCCCGCCCTCCCTCCCTTTTCTTCCTTCCTCCCATTATGCAGTGATGGGGCTCGAAGCGCCGAGGCAGAGGCCTTCTCTGGCATCTTTTAAGCCACTGAGCCGCTGCACCTCCAGGAGCACAGAAAAGAGGGGGGAAATTCTGCTTTGTCAGCAACAGACAACCGGCATTTTTGGCTCGTTCAAGTTCTCAAAGACAGACTCAGCCGATCTGTTTCCAAGTATTAAAGGCGAGGGAAGATGGGTTTTGTGCGGTTACACTGCTGAATTAGGGGCAGCCCGTATAAGGGTCTTTGGGGCGGAGGCTAAGAAGCAGAAAGCTACGCAGAGAATTCAGTGGACGCCACCAAACTGGGCGAAGGTCCCCAGCCCAGCCCTCCCTCTCCCTCTCCCTCTCCCCAAAGCCAGTACCGAATGGTGAATTCCAGCAGCTCCTGGGAGCCCTGGGGATCCAGGTGCTGAAGGGTGAAAACCCGTTCCAGGCTCTGCTGTAGAAATTCCTGAGAAGGGTCTTCCGGAAGGGTGAGGCTGGCAAGGCCGGAGGAAGAGGCCATCTTCTTCCCAGGCAGCTATGTGAAAAGCAAAAAAAGAAAAGAAAAGAGAGAGAGAGAGAGAAAGAAAACAGGAATAAAAGAGATGTCGGGAAGAAGTGAAATGAAATGAAGTAAAGAAAAGTGGATGAAGGGAAGGGAAGGAGAAAGGGAAGGGAAATGGATGAAGGGAAGGAGGAAAGGAAAGGAAAGTGATTGAAGGGAAGGGAAGGAGAAAGAGAAGGAGGAAGGGAAGTGGATGAAGGGAAGGGAAGGAGAAAGAGAAAGAAAGGAGAAAGAGAAGGAGGAAGGGAAGTGGATGAAGGGAAGGAGGAAAGGAAAGGAAAGGAAAGTGATTGAAGGGAAGGGAAGGAGAAAGAGAACGAGGAAGGGAAGTGGATGAAGGGAAGGAGGAAAGGAAAGGAAATGAGAGAGAAGGGAAGGGAAGGGAAGGGAAGGAGGAAAGGAAAGGAAAGGAAAGCGGTTGAAGGGAAGGAAAGGAAAAAGAGAACGAGGAAGGGAAGTGGATGAAGGGAAGGAGGAAAGGAAAGGAAATGAGAGAGAAGGGAAGGGAAGGGAAGGGAAGGGAAGGAGAAGGAGAAGGAGGAAGAGAAGTGGATGAAGGGAAGGAGGAAAGAAAAGGAAATGACAGGGAAGGAAAGGGAAGGGGAGGGGAGGAGAGGCGAAAGGAAAGGAAAGGAAAGGAAGTGGTTGAAGGGAAGGAGAAAGAGAAGGGAAGGTGGAAGGGAAGTGGATGAAAGAAGGAAAAGGAAGCAAAGGTACAGATGACTCCGAGGACACAGATAAACCTCCAAGTGGCCTCAACGACCCTCTAAAAGGATGCAAATGAGCAGCTGTCTGAAAGGAGTATAAATCCTTCCATTCCCCACCATCCAGTCAGAGCCGAAGAAGCTTCTTGGGATGAGAAGCGAAACGTCTTCAAAGATAAAACAAGAAAGCCCAGGTGCCTCCTGAAAAAAAGCACCTTTGAATCAACCCTGACCTGGAGGACGGAGAACCTCCACAGACACCCAAAGGTAAATCACGTGACCGCGGAGATGCCGTAACGGTCGTTAAGTGTGAACAACGGTCACAAGTGACTTATTTCAGTGCCGTTGTCACTTCGAACAGCCCATGATCTGTCATAAGTGGAGGACGACTTGGAAACAAAATCCCTGCCGGGAATGCCAAGGGTTCCTCCCGACGGCTCGACTTACCCTCAATGGCGGGACCAGGTGCGAGAGGCTGTCCCGAAGGTAAGCGTAGTGCCGGAAGGTGTGGTCAGAGAAGAGCGCCGGCATCGTGGGGCAGGATTTGGCCGCGTTGAAAATAAGAACTAGGACGGCAATATCTGTGCCACGGGTTAAGTGGAGGAGAAAGACCTCAGATCCTTGACGGGGACGCAGTTCAACAAAACTCTTGAATGCAACAGTCAGGGTGGCACGATGGTTAATATTGCAGGCTAACTCTGCCCACAGCCAGGAGTTCAATCCTGACCAGCTCGAGGTTGACTCAGCCTCCTCTCCTTCCGAGGAAGGTAAAAATGAGGACCCAGATTGTTGGGGGGCAAATAGGCTGACTCTGTAAACCGCTTAGAGAGGGTTGTAAACCACTGTGAAGCGGTATATAAGTCTAAGTGCCAGAAAGAAGGAAAGAAAGAAAGAAGGAAGGAGCCATAGTGCCACAGTGGTTGGAATGCAGCACTGCAAGCTAACTCTGCCCACTGCCAGCAGTTCGATCCTGACCGGCTCGAGGTGGAATCAGCCTTCCATCCTTCCGAGGTCGGTAAAATGAGGACCCAGATTGTTGGTGGGGCAAGATGCTGACTCATCGTTTCTGGGGCCGGGCCCAAAGTCACCCAGGCAGCTTTCAGGCCTAAGGTGGAACTAGAACTCCCTGTCTCCTGGCGATTGGCCCGAACTCACCCAGGCAGCTCTCATGCCTAAGGTGGAACTAGAACTCCCTGTCTCCTGGCAATGAGCCAAAAGTCATACAGCCAACTCTCATGTGGAACTAGAACTCATCGTTTCCAGGGGCCTGGCCCAAAGTCACCCAGCCAGCTTTCATGCCTAAGGTGGAACTAGAACTCAGGGTCTCCTTGAGATTGGCCCAAAGTCATCTAGCTGGTTTTCAGGCTTAAAGGAGTAGGCAAATCCCCATTTTTGTCAACCAAATGGATATCAGAATGCAGCTGCAATTTTATCGATGGCTTTTCTTGTCATGATACTCCAGAAAACCACAACTGGCACAAAAGGCAGTTTGCATTCCCATTGCAATTCAAACTTTCTGTTTTACCAGCTCCTTGCGAATCACAAGCAGTTTTGAGCACTAAATCTGAAATCCTCTGGAGCATTTTACACAAAACAGGTGGGGGAAAAAAGGATACAAGCTGGATCATCCATGTCTGGTTCAGGGGTGTCGAAGAAAGGGTGGGTCCCCAACAATTCAGGGACGAGCGGGAGCACCAGAGTGGGGTGCCTGCTTCCCAGAAACTTTAAACACCTGAAAAAAATACAGACATTCAAAGCAGAGAAAGTTCCCTTTTATTGTAACCAAACAGCAAACTCTTTAGGACAGGAGTGGGCAACCTTGGCTCTTTTATGACTTGCGGACTTCAACTCCCAGAAATCCTGAGCCAGCATGGGGGAACTATGGCCCCTTCAAGACTTGCGGACTTCAACTCCCTGGGCCAGCATGAGGGAACTATGGCTCCTTCATGACT